TGAATGGACGAGTCGTCCTCCTCCTCACAGAATCTGTACTCACTAACTATCCTCTACTACTATCAGTTTACTAAGGTGTCCTTTTAGTCGGCAATGCCCGGTAAGGACCCCTGTTACAATACGTAGCCTGTTCTTGCTCAGGCAGATGCAGGCTTCCGATCTTTTCTGGTTATATTCACCCAGAAGTATCTTAGCCTGTCTCAGCCCCAAGAGATTGTTCCAATAATCGGTTCTTCTACTGCCCAATTCTTTTTTAATCTCTCCTAATATTATGTTACTGCTGATACCGCAGAATGGCTCAGGTCCTACAAAGGGTGTTTTAGCCCCTTTCCTTGCAAGACTATCTGCAATCTTGTTACCCTGTACCCCGTTATGTCCCGGGATCCAAGTGAGAGTAACTCTATTTTTCTCGCCTAGCTCATTCAATTTTTCTAGGCATCTGCAGACCATTTTTGAGCTGATTACGTAAGAGCTCAGCGCTTTGATGGCTGCTTGGCTATCGGACATGATGATAATCTCTTGTCTATGATAGTTTCTCTCGATGTTAAACTGGATACACTTCTCTATGGCGTGAATTTCCGCCTGGAAGATGCTTGGGTATTTTCCCAAGCTTTCAGAGTGCTTGGTTCTCGGCATATACACTCATATTCCAGTTCCTTCTATGGTTTTGGAACCTTCCGTATTCCACTGAATAGCATGTCTTTCGGTTGCAAGCGCGATGGATTCTTGGCTCCATTCTTTCTTGCAGCCCAGCTCTGTGGTTTTGAAGTTTTTCACAAAACTGTACTTCTTTAGCATTTCATCCTGGGGTACGTCCCATGTATCTTTAGTCCTGAAACAAGTAGACTTTCGTCTGATTACTCTGTTCCTGATCATTCCATATCGTTTCCTTTTTGCCACATTCTCTATCATCAATACATTTTCAAACCACTGATGATTATTATTATGAAAGACTTTTAATTAAAAAAAAAAATGTTAATTTAGTATTTTGATAATGTTTGAAGTGTGTCCTCTTGTTTTATTTTTTTATGTCGCCACTATTGAATTTAATTTGTCTTTAACAAATAATGTAATTTCAAGGAGATATTATTTTAGTTATAAAACATAGTAATTAATATATCTACTAATACCTACTAAGCTGTTTTACTACTTGAATTTCTCATAACTTTTTAAGGAACAGCCTGTACCTACTTTAGAAGGTGTCAGTTATAATGAGACATCCTGTATAGTATCAATAATATCTCTGTTCATATTAGTATTTGTTACATCTACACTTTAAACACATTCCAGAATACAAAATTATAAGCTTTAATCCGTTCCAGAATTGTTGGTAAGTTTTGATACTTTTTGCCCCTGTGTGTGCCGCAGGTGTAGAGTTAATATCCTCGCAGAATTTTCTGAAGCTGTTACGTTTAGCTTTTCTGATTTCTTTGTTGTAGGTAGTAAATGCCTCGGTGTAGCTCTGCCAATCTCCGCTGTGCTTGGCCCTATTATAGAGCTTCCGCACTTCGAATCGTAAGTTTGACAGATGACGGTTCCACAAAGGTGCATGCCTACTAGTTCTATTTCTTTGAATGGGGCATTTTGATTCATATGCCTCAAGTATTTCCCCATATCGAGTCAGAAAGTTACGTCGAGGCTGGTATGGGAATGCATCGAAGAACTAAGAACACTGACAGACCGAAATAGAGTAAAACTATTTTGGGTGCCAGGTCACAAAGGGATCGAAGGCAACGAAAAGGCTGACGAACTTGCAAAAAGAGGGTCAGAAGAAACACCGGAACCAGACACAAACCCAGGAGTACCAAAAAGTACAGTCCGGGGTTTTATAAATGACTGGATTCGGGAACAACATATCAACTATTGGGGAAGCACCCCAAAACAGGCACATGGAAAAGCCTTTATAGGCAGACCATGTCCCAAAAGAACTGGAGAACTACTCTTAATGAATAGGAACCAGTTGAAAGTGATAACAGGGTTCATGACTGGGCACGCCCCAGTAAAGGGACACTTGAACAAAATTGGCATGTACAATGGGGAACTCATGTGCCGACTATGTCACAAGAAACCAGAAACGGCCAAACACATACTGTGCGAATACGAAGCTCTAGATCGCAAAAGACAGGCTCTTTTTGGACAACCCCAGGTTGATCCAACAACGTATAGAACCCACTCACCCAAGGATCTGTACAAACTTGTACAAGGTACAAAGGTGATACAGTGGGTGCTATAAACTAACATGGGGTAAAACACAATAAGCCAATAGGCTTCAGTGTTATTCGGAGACACATAGTCAGACGAGCCCAGGAGAAAAAAAAATTTCCCCATTTAGTTCTTCGAGATCGCTTTCCAGAGCAAGTGGGTGCTTGGGTCCCTTTTTTGTCTGGATACGTGCTAAATTTTGTTTTAGAATGGTGTTGTATTTGTCCCAGTCTGTTTTTCAAGGATTCCTCCTGAGGATCGTCTCAGGAATATCGCTCTCTAACGTAAACACAATTATCTTGTGATCAGATAGAGATGGTTCACTCGATACTCTCCAGTTTGTAACTAGATTTTTAATGCTCGGTGTGCTTAATGTGATATCTAATACCTCACCTTGCCCTTGTTACAAATGTTGGAGTATTCCCAATATTTTGCACAATAAGGTTCTTATTAAAAAAATATTCTAAAATTTGCTCACCTCTGTGATTGGTATTGTTGCTTCCCCATACGGTACTGTGCGCGTTGGCGTCGCATCCAAGAAGTAAAACAGATGTCTTCTCTGGCATTACTCCACTAGCCTCGATACTTCCGGGGGTGGTACAGGCCCATCTCCGGCGAAGTAACTAGAAGCTATTACTGTCTTGCCGCCTCATCCCTAATTCCAGGTATGCTCGAATTGGGACGAGATCACGCGTCATGAATCTGAAAGAAGAATATTTAATATTATTTCTTACCATTATGCATGTTCTGGGTACTTCATCACTAGTGTGATAAATTACCCTTGCATCCTTACATGCAAGTCCTCTTACCTGGTTCCCGTAGGCCCACGGTTTCTGGATCAGTACGATCCCTAATTGATCTTTAGTGAATGTCCCGGAGATCACAGCCTAGGCTTCCTTGGCGTAATGGACATTCACTTGGGCACTGTCGATGCCCGCCATTTTACTCTTCTTTAATGGGGGTGCCGCCCCCATCGGCGAGGGTGTGTTTCATATCCCCCTTTTCTGCTTCTTCATCAATTTCTACATCTTCAGATGAGTCTACGCAGAGATTTGAGATGTTAAGGCTCTCTATGCTATCCACATCAGTCTTATCTTTGGAAGTACTAGGAGTTGGTTCTGTTTCTTCTCCCAGTTATTTCCTCTTTCTTTTGAAGGCCGTGTACGGGGATATTTCCGAGTCGATAGTGGATAGTGCATCCATTATTCTTGATCCTTTGGCAGGATAGGCCATCTATTCCTAACCTAAGGATCTGGCCTTTGCCCTCGTCTTTTTTGGCTGACTATTTTATACAGTGTGGTCGATAACCCCACATTCTGCGCTTCTATTAACTATAGAAGCTTCTCTACAGGCTGCCCTTGACTTCTTGGGAGAAAGAGCGTGGCTGTATGTGCTTTCGGGATGTCGTCTCTCGCACATACCTCCAACTCCACTCCCTTCTAGTTGCTCAGGTGTGGGATTTTTGCCTTGAGCCATTCTGCTGACTGTGGGATTTCACAGTCGATTAAGACCATTCCTGGCTGGAAGTGGATGTTTCCAAATAGGATACCTTCAAATAGGATACCTGTGGTTAGCATTCTCAGTCACTTGCTGCTTTCAATATACCGGCAAGTACGAGTATGTAGAATATTGACAATTTCTTTACACTGATTAACTTAAAAAAATTGTTTTACTTTTTTCTGGATATTTTTCTTTAAGATTTTTTCTCTCATTTTAGTTACAGAAGAAATACTTCTTGGTACTTTCAAGATTTTTTACTCTTCGCTTTTGTTTTATCAACAAACTTTTTAATTAAAATTCCATCTAGTGATTTGAAAAACCAATGAAAATATACAAAATTTAGTTATATTACAAAATTGTTTTTATTATTAATAAATACAGGTAAGTTTGTTAAGTACTTTTTTTTCTTACCATTTTTAGCTACACACTTTACTATACACAGTTGCCCTAATATTTTAAGTTCTATCGGAATAAAATTGCCACCTAAAATAAGAAAGTTGACATCCACTTCCGGTATAAGCGGAAATGACAGAACTGTCAAAATATTTCAGATGGAAAGATTATCACATATTTACTATTTTTACCAATTTTTAACGAAATTTGTTCATTGGTTTGTCATATATATTGTTCCCCCGTCCCTAGACAACCTATATATACTAGTTTTGTAGATATTTCAGAGCTGAACAACATTTAAATTTACGATTTTAGTATATAAAATATGTTTGGGTCTAAAAAGCAAAAAACGAGTTTTTGATAGCATTGATGTCTTTTACCGTTTGTATTTATCATCGTAGCATAACGATCTAAGGCAGCGATGCACATACAGCAGCCCACTATCGATATTTATACGGCCCGCCCGCCAACGAATTTTAAAAATTGTTCGAAAAACAACAAAGTATCTTTAAGTACTTACCACTTTCTTGTTCAGGTTTACTACGTAGGACAGATATTATACTCGCCTACAAGTATATTGTTATGTCTGTGCATCCCTGATCTAAGGAGATTAATTGTAGAAAATATTTTCTGCTACGACTCACCGTTTTCGCCGAAAATGTCTAACACAAAATGACAAGGGGTGGAGATTTAAAAAAAAAAAAAATTTTAACGTACTAATGGTGTCATCGACGCTCTTTAACAATAATTACCAGGCGAAGCTTTTCCGACTGGTATTAGAATCGGTACAAACTCTTACACGAAGCAGGTCTTCAAGCTTCATCCAATATTATACAATATGATATTAATAAAATGCACAATCCTTGAAACTAAAAAAAAAATATTAAAAATACAAAAACGCTTACCAGTTTCTTTATCTGTTGGCCTAACAGATGGCTCGGTTGTAGTAGAAGTTTTAACATCTTCAATTACCTCGACGTTTCTGTTACTCATAATAACAATTGGTATTTGTGTACCTACTTCGACTGTTTTCGAAGTAGACGTTGTAGTAGTGGTGGTCGAAGTCGTAGTACCAACACTACTGCTAGTAGAACTCGTAGTAGAACTCGTAGTAGAGCTCGTAGTAGAACTCGAATCGGTCGCAGGAATCAATGTCGTTTCTTTCTTGTTCTTGTACTCGTCTAAAATATTAATCAGATCGTTCATAGAAATGTTATAACGTGTCAAAATATCCTGACCGAGTCTGAAGGGGTTACATTTACAAATTTCACATCCTCTTCGGTTGACCCTAAATCCGTTGGGGCAGCTCCTGTTGCAGTTGGTCAACGACTGACATTCTATCGGTTTGGCTGTGGTCGGAATTGTTGTTGTAATCGTTGTTGTCGTGGTTTCGCAGAGATCATTCGAGCAGATTTTGACGCCGTTGTCGCAAGAGCATTTAATACAACCATCATTTTCGGTCCAGGCTACGCCGTGATGGTAGGTGGTGTCACCGTTGATGCAGGAATGGTTAAGTTGACTGAGTTTTTCATCACAGTAGTACGAGATGCAGTTAAATTCCCCATTACTACAAAATAATTAGAAATAGTGCCTTTATTGAAATGGTAATTGTAAAATTAACTTACTAGCAACTGCAAGACGTACATCCATCATCTTTGGTCCACTTTTCGGTGTGTTTGTGTAAAAGGTTATCTACAAAACAACCCAGTTCTTCCTCTTCTTTGTGATTGGAACACAGGGCCAAACCCTTGTCGCATTTGCAAATTTGCGAGTCCAAGGTGCGCCATTCTTTGCCGTTTTCGTAGAACAGGTTGTTATAATTGCAACCACCCTCGGTGTTTGCGATTACGTTGTTTGCTAATACAGAATTTGCGATTTCATCGTTATTTTTGCATTCGTAGAGGTCGCAGCAGTTTCCTGGGAAGCCCCTACCGTGTTTTTTGATCACAGCCTAAAAATCAAAAGTTATTAAATAGCTAAAGTTCGAATTGAGTCTTTGGTTGCATGCAAGAGGATTTTGGAAACAATAGGGACGATTAAACAAAAAAAGTGAATATGGTTGAGACAGATCGACAAAGTTGGAATCAACAAAATTAGCCTAAAATTCGAATGATCTTCTTTTGTGTTGTGGTAGAATAATTGCAGTTTTCAAACGTCAAAAGTCCATGTAATAAAAGATAAGTTAATTGAATGAAGTTAGAAGGTAGGAAGACACTCTAAGCATCTTTTTTAAACATTCAAAACGGTATAACTGTAGACATAAATATGGTCGATCCGCCAGAACCGGACTATTAGGAATGCAACCCAAACGTACATTTTTTATTTATAGATGACTTGTAACACTGAAGACACTAAATGCTTTTTTAATGTTTCAAAGGTAGTTTGGCAGTCCTCGTCCCAGCAGAATTCCCTCGCTTCTTTTGTGAGTCGTGTTAATGACAGCAATATCTGCAAACTTCCTAATGAATCTTCGATAGTACGTACATAGCCCAAGAAAACTTCTTATTTGATGTTTATCAATTGGTTGTGACCACTCTTTGATGGAAGCAACTTTTTCTTTATCTACAGCCACGCCATCCTTACTGACTATATGCCTAACTGAATGTGTAGCACTCCAGAATCCAAGGGCACTATATCTAGGAGGATATCAAATAGAAAAGGGAGATTTACCTAACTTGAAGTTACTTCAAATCCTACACTTCCTTGAGAAAATAGGATTGGAAGGGTCGCTATAGGCATTGAGACATTTCCTTAGTGCAGTGGCGACAGAAGGGGTACAATAGATCTTTTAGGTCGCAGTGTATTAACACCCCATTCTCAACATAACATAACATACTGACTATATGACCCAGGTAATTGACTTTATTTCGGAATAGCTTGTGGTTTAACATCAGTTGGGCAGCTTGAAGTCTTTTAAAAACATCTTCTAAGTTCTTTAGGTGTTCATCAAATGTCTTCCCCAAGACTATAATGTCATCTAAATATACCAGCCACGTTTTCCATGATAACCCTCTCAATACATTGTCCATAAGTCTTTTAAATGTCGCGGGAGCATTACATAGTCCAAATGGCATGACATTGAATTGCCACAATCCAGATTCGGTGTTAAAAGCTGTCTTTTCTTTGTCTACTGGGTCCATTTGCACCTGCCAATATCCAAACTTTAGGTCTAAGGTAGAAAATAGTTTACTTCCGGCCAATGTGTCCAAGGTATAGTCGATTCGAGGAAGAGGATAACTGTCTTTCTTGGTAACATTGTTCAACTGACACAGAACCTCGTAGTTCTATCCTTTTTCTGAACTAGGACTACCGGTAAGACCCATGGGCTGGTAGAAGGTTCTATCACCCTGTCTTCCTTTCAGCTTCCACCCTCTTGGCCTTTGGTAACTGATTGACGAATCGGCATGGCGTCACCAGTGTCAATTTTGTGTTTTACAACAGAAGTTCTTCCTGTTTTTCCTCCTTTTGGTACAAAAATGTCACGATATCGTAGAAAAAATTCCTTTATTTATTAATCACTAGTCAATGGCTTGAATAGAACTAGAGAATTCAAGGTGTCAAGTAAATTTTGGGTTTATTTAGAGAGACTAGACAGAAAGAAAAGAATAGAGTGAGGACTGTGGTCCAAAAAATCTCGCCGAAGGCAAAACTCTCGTTTTCAGGGCCTTAAGTCCCTACCTTCTACTTCCATGGTTAATTGCTTCTAAAAACCAAAAACCACAAGTACTAGATCACTAAAGATAACAACTTTTTATAGAAATTTCATTGTATCCTTGAGCATTTTTATTCTTTATCACTATGGCTATTTTAACTTCATTATATTTGTGAAATAAAGGTGATTTTCACGTATTCCGTATATTTTATGGGAACATGTTAAACAGTGATCTTAGAGGTAAGCCCATCAGCAGTTGTCAAATAAAATTCGTTAAACTGATATATTGTAGACAGCTTTAAAATAATTTTTTGTCTTTCTTCTAACCTCGTTTATAATTGCGCTATTATTGGTGTTTTGTATTTTGCAGTTGTAATATTTATCTTTAGCAAACTTTATTGTTTTTTTTTATAGTTCTTTTAAAATTTATTTACATATGAGATAAAACCCTCATTTGCTGTATATTTGCAGATAATTAATAATTATCTCATATTCCTGGCCGATATTTTGATTTCTTCTGTAAACCATGGCTTTTTCTATTTTTGTTTTATTTGATTGAAAATGCTTTCTTATTATTTTTTAAAATATATTGTTATTTAACTGAATCGTGGTTATATGATGAAATAAACCAATTTGTTTTCTCGCATTCAATAATGGATATTCTGCCAAATCTGTATTTTCTGTTTTTGTTGTGTTTAAATTGACGTTTATCAGGAAAGATTAATGATCAGAAAAACTTATATGATTCACTACAGATACTATTGTCATGCGAACCACTTTCGACCAGTCCAGTCCTACTCTAATCTATTATTTGGGCCTTTTATGGCCTCCATTTTCCCAATAATATTAGATAGAATATGTCAACTATCAAAAAATCCTTATGACCCGCCCATGATCTTGAATTGTCATCCATCTAGAACGTACTGCAATCATAACGAAACAACAATTTTGCTGAAGACACCCGTCTAGAAGCCACATGTATGTATAAATATACTGTTCTGTCGGAAGTGGGAGTTTAAGTTAAGATATCATTTTGTTCACATAAATATTGTCAATATAAATTAGTGTATTAGTAAAATATATAAATTAGTGTTATATTTTTTAGTACAAATAAATTATGTTATAAAATAAACGTTACACTCTGTTTTCATCAAAATATCTCCAAAAATAAACAATTACAGTGACTATGCCCTTTTCATAACGGGTAGGGTAACAAATTAAGTCAAATCGAAAGAAACTAATAAGTTGTTTACCCATTACAATACAGTATGGCCCAAAATAAACAGTACTTAGGTATGAGTTGGAGGAGGCCTTTCGATAATTTAAGGAGGAGTTCTAAATGATACGTATTTCTTAAATAAAAAATGATAAGTTCAGTGCTGTTTATTTTGGGCCATACTGTATTATTCCGTTCACTTCTAAATAATCGTATTTATCATATTTGCATTACTTACAGTTTTGTTATAATCGCATTCTTTCTTACAAGGAAGGCATACGCAATGGTCCTCAATTTCATCTACTTCTATATAATTTGTGGATTCACTATCTGCTGGACATGGTTTGCAAATTGTTTTTTTGCAACATCCTTCGATTATCGTAACTGCCACTGATTTTTTGTCGCATAGTTGAGGAAAAGGGCAAAGATGGGGGTCGCATACGCATTTTCCATCAACCTAAAATGATTTAGTTATGTTAAAAACATACTGTGGCGATGAAAAATTTTAATAATAAATTTTCCGCTGCTCTAAAACAAACTTGCGTTTCACAATGAGGTACATTGTGTAAAGTAATTTAATTTCCTTATTTGCCAACAAAAAATAATTCATTTTCGTTTTCTGATTATTATTTATTAGGTTCCAAACTTGTTACAAACACTAAACATTATCTGATACGCATGCGTGAGCAGAATAATATCCGGAATAAATGAGTGCTGGAACGTAAAAAAAATAATGTTCCTGAGTAAATACAGGTCATTCGATTATATATATTAAAAATGAAGATTTTGAGGTTATACTTTATGATCAATTCAAAATTGTACAAATAAAAACTACCCTCCTTATTATATTTTTTGCTGTTACAAAGCTGAATAAGATTTTAATCAAAATTAAAGATAATAGGCACTCACAAGTTTTTACTCTTGCGGAAACACCAAACAAGTTCAATTTGTTTGGAACTGCTCTGCTGGAACAATTATTTTGTACTGCGCATACTCAATATGCAGGGGCGTGCGGTCCATGGAAGCGGAGGAAGGACCGCTTCCCTACACTTTAAGATTTAAAAATAAATATTTTTCAGTTTACAATGCATAGGAATTAATATTAAATTAGGTACTATACTTTCTCTGAAACATTACGTAAACTTCGTAAATGTACTAACAATTCATTGGTGTAATGTGTAAACGCACGCACCAACCATGAGAAAATTAATTGTGTAAACGCATACACCATATACTTCGAGTCCGTCGGCGGAAGCGCGTCTTGAAAAAGCCTGCTCATTTTCCAATTGTTTTCGCTTCGTGTTATTGACCCTGCTTTGCAGCGACAATAGTCAGATAGATTTCGGTTTGTGTTTCGTAGTTGTTTTTCTTTTTGTAAAATGGAGGAACTATGCACTGTGTTTGTGAACAATAATAATGTGGTAAGTTGTGTCTATATTGTGTGCACTTTATTGAAAAAATGATTTTCAAGTAGAAATTTTGAAGAGAAAATGGATATTATTAATTCTAGTAGACTTAAGGATACTATCAATTTAGAGACGAAAGTAGAAAAGTCAGCAAAGAAATTTACCAGGCATTTTCACGTAGGGTTCTATTAAAAGTATGAATGGTTAACTGGTGTAAAACGACATGTAAATAGCAAATCTCATATAAGTGCTACAATTAAAGAAAAAACATTCGGGACCTATCGCATTGGATATAGTTTGGAGAATCATTTAAAAATAAGCAACAAAATTCACAATGAAAGGGTAAAAAAAATAGGGACGTTTACAACGATTAATAGATGTAACTTGTTTCCTGGCAGAGCATGAACTAAGTTTTAGGGGTCACAATGAAGCTAGTGGATCCGCCAATCGAGGAAATTATATGGACCTTCTAAGTTTTTTAGCAAAATACGATGATACCCTAAAAAATCATTTTATTGATTCGACGACTTTCCGAGGTACAGAATCCAAAATGATTCAATTAAATGCACAGCCGACGTTGTGATGGATCAGATTAAAAGTGAATTTAAAAAAGCACCTTTCGTATCAATTGCGCTTGATGAAACCACAGCAAACTTAAGTCAATTATCCATTGTTGTGCGATATGTATTGGATGGCATTCCTTAAGAGCGATTCTTAGGATTTTTGGACGTCACTAGCGAACGAATTGCAGATGCATTGTTTAAAATTGTTTGTGACATTATTTCAAGTTTAGAATGTGGTTCTAAGCTTGTTGCTCAGAGCTACGATGGTGCTGCCGTAATGGCTGGCCATTTAGGAGGCCTTCAAGCTAAAGTGAAAAAGAATTTTAAACATGCAATTTTCATTCACTGTATAGCACATAGACTTAATTTGGTTTTATCGCGAAGCATGGATAATATTAAAGATTGCAAAGTATTCTTTTCGACGCTTAATGGTTTGGCTTCCTTCTATTCAATGTCATCTAAAAGAACTCGCGCTTTGGACATTCACGTTCAAAAAAGGTTTCCATGGACAATGGACGTTTAGTGCAAACAGTGTTTCAATACCGTGATTCTTTGATACACTTTTTTCAAGACGTTTGGGATAATAAAGAAACATGGGATGCTGAAACTGTTACTGCCGCTAAAGGGTATTTGCAATGACTCAAACAAAACTTTGATTTCAATTTTTTGCTCAACATTTTTGCAGATATTTTCCCTTTTACTGACATTTTACTGATGATTTTAAAAATAAAATGAATAAAAAACGAGATCAGTTTGAACACTTTTGGAATAAGACTCAAAACATTGGCTTAGAACCTGAAAGAAAGAGAATTAGAATTGATAATGTCGGCGACAGAGAGACATCCTATCGTCGATTATACGCCGAAATTTTTGATATTTTACAACAAATGAAGTCTCGATTTCAAAACTTTAACGAATTAAAATTTGTTGAATTGTGCAATTTTATTATTAGTAACAACGATTCATCAAAATTTCCATCGGAAGCTTTAATTTCACTAAAATTAAATTTTTTCAATATTCCAGCATTAAAATCCCAGTTAAGTGTTGTTTATGAAACAATTGAAATTAGTGATATAAAGACGCCCATCAATGTGTTGACTTTTCTTATAACAACTAGTTTAAATAAGTCTCTTTGTGAACTCGTCAAGTTGTGTCAATTTGTACTAACCATCCCAACCACAAGTGCGTCAGTTGAGCGAAGTTTTTCAGCTTTAAAGCGCATTAAAAGTTTTATAAGAAATTCAACAAGTGAAGACAGACTCTCTAATTTAGCCCTAATATCCATTAAAAAACAGCTTGTTAAACAGTTATTAGAAAATCCAAAATTTTACGACGATGTTATAAACAAATTTGCAGCCATCGAGGATAGGCGAATATACGAAAAATGCAGGAAAATATAAAAAAAACTTCAGTTAAATGGTTTTTTACGTTTAAATAAACCAAGAAAACTTTTCAACGGTAAGTTTTTTTATAGCTTCTAGTACTAAACTAGGTAATAATAATAATAATAATAATAATAATAAAACGTCCTTAATAAAATTTTTGAAAATTACAAAAATGCAATGTAAGGGCGAGATTTAGCCTACAGCTATTCTTCCATCTAACCCTTTTAGTAACAGGATCGATAAATAATATTATAAAAACAAAAACTATAATAAACCTATAATAAAAATTAAAAAAAAAAAACAAACATTTAACTAAACTGTTAATGCAAATAAATAATAATTGAATTACATATTAATAAATTAAACTAAAAATAACACAATTTGTATACACAATTTAATTTGATCATCGTTGTTGATGAAGCAGGATATTTTTGAGCTTACGCTTGAAACCAGTATATGAATGGGTATTCTTTAAATCATTGTCAAGTTCATTGTAATATTTAATAGCACAGTAAGAGAAACTGCGTTTAAAAATAGCATGTGTGTGGCGGGGCATTGTTAACGTAGATTGCTCACGTACATTAATATTATGCATTTGATTTCTGTAAATTAACCTACGAGAGAGATATATTGGACTTTGAGTGTGTATTATTTTGTGCACCAATGATAGCAAATGATACTTATACAGATTACTAATATTTAGCCACCGAAGTTCTTTAAAGCTTTGGGATTTGCGTAAACCAAATATGTATCGATAACATGTATTCTGAATTTTTTGAAGCCTTATAGATGTTATTGAATCTAGACAAGGATAAAAAGTTATATGACAATAAGAAATTTTGCTAAGGATTAGAGTTTCACATAAGTATTTTTTCATATTCATTGAGAGCAAATCTTTATTAGCGTATAGAAGTTTGAGAATTAGATAACATTGAGTGGACAAACTGTTGATATATTCAATAAATCGAAGATTCTCATCCAGTAGTAAGCCCAGACTTCTGGGCTTACTACCATAGGAATTGTCTCATCATCAAGTTTTATGGAAAAATTATTTTTAATATAAGATCGAGATTGGGCATTAGAAAATATGATTGATTTGGATTTTGATGGATTTAAATGCAGATTATGATCCAAGGAAAATGTTTTTATTCTAGCTAGGTCCTTATTAACCGCTTTACTTGCTACCTCTGCATTAATGGAATGAAATGAATGGTGTAGTTGGGTATCGTCAGCAAAAAACTGGATTTTACATGTCAGAGTTTGTTCACACAAGTCTGACGTATACAGAAGAAAGAGTAAGGGACCTAAGACGGAGCCCTGTGGTACGCCTGATTTTATGGACTCAAATCCAGATGACTGATTATTTATTTGGACTTTTTGTGAGCGATTACTAAGATAAGATTTAATAAAATTAAGAGATTTGTCACTAAAACCATAGTAACTACATTTAGAGATTAATAGCAGATGGTTGAGGGTGTCAAATGCTTTACTATAGTCAAGCAACACAAGAGCTGTAGCTTGACTATCATCCAATCCAGTTATTATAGAATCAGTTAAGTGACATAGAGCTGTTGTCGTACTGTGTCCTTTCCTAAATCCTGATTGGTGTAAGGGCAATATTTTATTTGAAGTGAGAAAGCTATAAATTTGCTTATACGCAATCTTCTCTAAAACTTTAGAGAGAACCGGAAGCAAACTTATAGGCCTCAAATCGTTGAATGATAGAGGGTTATTTTTTTTAGCCACTGGTACAACAAATGCTTTTTTCCACTGATCAGGAAAATAACCTTGTTCTAAACAACAGTTAATAATATGTGTAATATACGGTAAAATGACTGGCATACATAATTTAAGCATATCCAGAGAGATGTTGTCTGCTCCACTGGCATTCGATTTAACTTCAACAAATGTTTTCAGAACAGCATCCACGTCTACAAGACTAAATGTAAAATTATTGTTATTAATATATTTATGAGTACGATAATAAGCCGTTTTTTCACTACACTGGACATTGCTGTTTTGGTAAACCGCTACAAACGCTTCATTTATCTTGAAGGGGTCTAATAACTCGTGAGGTATGTCATTGTTTTTTGAAACTTGCATATTCATTGTTTTTAAAGTTTTAAAGAATTTTGACACTCCCTGTCCACTTACGTAACGTAAATATGCAGCTTTTTCATTTTTTGTAGACGCAACAGCAAAATTTCTAAGGCGTTTGTAGTGATCCCATGCTTCAGGCGTTTGAACACGCTTAAAGTTAACCAGAGCTCTATTACGTTCTTTGTAAATATTTTTTAAATTTTCCGTTAACCAAGGAGCGCAAGGTTTGCTAACTCTAACAGTTCTGTAAGGACAGTGAATATCAAATAGCTGGGTAATATTGTTAGAAAGAAATCGAACTTTACTTTCTATATCTCTTATAGAGATTAGGTCATGCCAAGGAAAATTAGATAGATCATTGTTAAAACAGTCAAAATTGATTTTTTTAAAGTTTCTAGAAGTGACAAATTTTTGTTGATTACCAGTAAGATTAAATTTTATGACGCAGTAAGCAAAGCGGTGATCAGAAAATAGGTCAGCATTTAGAGTTCCACTAGCTAAACAAAGTTTTGAATTATCAACGTAAATAGGATCTATAAGCGTTGCCGAAGTTGCTGTAATTCGTGTAGGTTCAGCTATTACTTGTGTCAATCCGTATGCTTCAAAACAATGGTTAACATTGTTATTGCTGTTAGTTAAATCTACGTTTACATCACCCATAACGAAGATATTTTTAAACTGAGGGACTATTGAAGTCAACATATCATCTAGCAAGTTAATAAAACAAGGAATAGAACCCTTAGGTGGTCTGTAAAGAATGCCTACTGACACACATTTGCTATTTATTTTCAGCTTAACCCATAAATATTCCAAGTTAGAAGATTCTCCAGATGTCATAACTTGACAATGATATTTACATTTAACAAAAATTCCTACTCCACCCCCACGATTGTTACGCTCATGTCTAAAGAAATTATATCCGTCAATGTGTATAAAATTAGATGGTATATCGGCTTTAAGCCATGTCTCAGATACAGCGACAATATCAAAATCGTTATCACATACGAGAGTACAGAAATCATTAAAACCAGCTAAGATTGACCGGACATTTATATGTCCAATTTTTAGAGTGGATTTATTATTTTTACAATTTTTAGTCGTATTTAACATTACTTTTTAAATTATTTAAATATTTATTTAATACTTGACAATTATTTATATCTTTTGCAGTATGGTCACAATCGTAGCTGGTTTTGTGTGCGTTGTTATGAGATACACAGTTTATACATTTCTTAATATTCGATATACAATTTTTAATAGAATGCTCTTCAGTACAAATGGGACAAATGATTTTAGTAGAGGTACAATTACTTTGAATATGTCCAATACCCGAACATTTGTAGCACCTTTTTATTCGAACATAATCGTCAACACGACAACATTTCCATCCTATATGCACAAATGTTTTATTTAAAAGATATTTTCTTAATTGGGGGGAAACTTCTACAATTAATTCACAGGATTTTCTTTGAGAATATTTTAAGATCGTCACTATTTTAAGATCCGAAGCTGTGAATGTATCCATTTCATTTAGGGAGAAAATATTATCAGCAATTTCTTCATGAGAAACTTTTTCATCTACGTCCACGTTTTTAATAATTAGGCGTGGATTAAATTTCGTAGGGACACTAGCAGCATATTTGGAACCGAATTCTTTATTAATTGACACTTTTAATTTTTCTAGGGACGATTCATTATTACAATTAATCACTAAACCATTTTTCGTTTTCTTCGTATTATTTATGCATACATTTAAATTAACTGGGTTAATATGTTTTTGAATATCTTCTAATATATTATCAGTTTTGAAGTTTCCTTTATTAGTACTTTTTATTATCAGACTAGAAGAAGGTAATTGAGAATTAGTCACTGGTTTTTTTGCAACATCGCTGTAAAAAGCAGAACTGTTCGTACTAGGAGCAAAAAAGTTCGACATCGGTGCGGCATGTTTCTCGAATGAGTTGATTTTATCTTTTAGTAGATTATTATTTAATTTTAGTTCTTCAATGAGATCGTTTAAGTTTTTATTTTCTCGTTTTATATATTAAAGAAATATTACTTTTTGTTTAAGGTCGGGCAAATTGTCCGATTTAGAATGACCATCATTATTAAGTAGACATGACTTACATTGCCACTCCCATCTATCTGCTAAAAACACCTTTGCAACTGCTTCAAAACACTTGGTATGAATTACAACATCACATTTATCATTTGCACACTTTACACCACTTTTTCTTATGCTGGATGAACAAATAGCACACAATTTATCAAAGCGATCCGACAACAGGTCTGTATCGCCTGCCATCACATTAGTAATAAAGTAATAGTAACACTTCAAAAATCTCAATCTCTACTTTTGTGATATTACTACTTGATTTCAAGAATATTTTAATAATAAATTTATATAAATATTTTGTTTTATCTGAAATTTCCATGTCTTTATTGAGTTTTTACTATACCTCAATTTCAGCCTCTGTATTACATTACACAAAGAACAATATAGTGTGTCCATGGATGGACTTAATTATACTTGTAAAAATATTTATTTTAAATTAAAAAAAGTTATTTTTCATAATTTATTAATGCGAATCGAATTTATTTAAAAAGTAAAAGAAATTATGAAGAATTACTTTTTAATTTAAAATAAATATTTTCACAAGTGGACCTACTGTATAATGCTGTAGAACTAATTCAAATTATAACATCTATAGAAAGTTTCAGAGCAACTTTCAGAGCAACTTTCAGGGTAAGTACCTTAAAAGTGCTAGTGTGATGTTTTCCGAACTTCACTTTGTAACCTCTGTGAGATGTACTATAAAAGTCTTGCCGTTGCGGACATTCGGTGGTTGCAGGGATATTAGGGTTACATTAAAAGTACATCGCATGTGATCTTAAAGAGCCTAAAATGGGCCCGTTCACTTTCATTTTTGAATGTGAATTATTTATATATTTATAAAAATATTAAACTCTTTTGTCTGGTGGTACTTTTCCCGTTAAGATATTTTTGCTAGAAGTATGGGAATTCCCATAAAATTCTTTCAGTGACTCATTGCGTCAGAAAACCCCTAATTCCCTTCAGGTCTTGTATCGGTTAATAGTTAAAAGGGCGCGGTTGTTGGATGTATCATTGCACCACCATTCCTCTTCTGCATTTATTAAAGAAATTTGCATGATAAAAATATATTATTTTTTAAAAATAATGTGTTTATATTTTCAGATAAAGCTGGAAGCCTTACCTTTTTTAAATTTTAATAAAAACAATTAGTATTACTCAAGCTGAATATTACCAGATCGAAATTTTATTTGAGAAAATGTATCTGGTAAACATGACAACGTTGTAAGTACTTCTAAATAGTGTTGTCTACCACTTCTAGAAATAAATGCAACGTTGCCACGTTTACGAGATAAATATTGCAAATCAAATTTCTACTTTTTGATTATGGTCTGGTTAATTTTCAGCCTGAGTAATAATAATTGTTTTAATTAAAAAGTAAAAAATAAGCTCCCAGCTTTAAATCTGAAAATATAAGTTCATGATTTTTAGAAAAATAATGGAATTTTACTATTTAAATTACATATATAAATGCAGAAATGCTATATTAGGGATACTTCCGACAACCTCGCCGTCTTTAAGCGTAACCGATACGAGACGTGAACGGAATTAGGGATTTTCTGACGCAATGAGTCACTGAAAGAATTTTATGGGAATTCACTTACTTCTAGCAAAAATATCTTAACGGGAAAAGTACCACCAGACAAAAGAGTTTAATATCTTTATAAATATATAATTAATTCACATTCAAAAATGAGCTTATTAACGTAGATGGAATATTTTTGTGCTAGCTGGGAGTAGTACAAAAACTTTTATTAAAAATTATTTAGGTATTCCTCAAATGATTTATTTTTAGAAACTAAAATAATGCATATTCGAAAATTGTTCACTAAAATCGTTCTAATATATCAACATCTTCATAAAAATGAATTAAAAAGAATTAGTCATGCCTACTCAACCAGAGCTGTTACACAAAATTTAGCACATATTCTTAAAGCTGAAAAGAACATATTACAAAGAAACTATACTTACCTCGGTCCTAAATTATATAATAAAGTTCCAGCCGATATAAAAAATTAAAATTCAAATAAAGCTTTTAAAACTGCAACCCCGGATAGAAATTTAAAACTGGATTCATCAAAAGGCCAGTCAAATTACTGAATAATATAAAAAAAATAGAAGAATTAATTTTTAATACTTTTTAGTGTCTTATTCTAAGATCCAGTTCATCATCTTACGATTTAATAATATTTTCTTTCACGCATTACAGTTTTATAGGTATGTTCTTTAGTGTTAGTTTTTCAGTTAGTAACCTTTAGTTTTAACCTAAGTTTTTATAATTTTATACACTCTACGTACAGGCCCTGCCTCCTATGGATTTTTTTTATTTATTCACTATAGTTTCTATATATTTAAGTATATTATAAATTGTACCTTTTGTGAAAAAAATTTTTTTTTTTTAATTTGGTGTCATCTGCATCGACTGCTAAGGTCATAAGTCTCGTGTTCTGTGTAGGCTTTGTTACTGTTTCCCAGCGCCACTTTAGGTACAGCACTGTTAATTAGAACCCAACAGTGAATGGTTGAGTGGGGAATCAATTATTATTAATGGAAATAACTGCATTTTCATAATAATTTCTCCTTAAATTTACTAACTATAAGTTTGTTATATCTACACCAATAGAAATAAGTACATTTTCTTAGTAATTTCTCTTCCAATTTATGATAATTTTTCTGAATTAGTTTTCCAGAAGATAAATAAAAATTTCCTATCGCACCATCTATATTTTGTTACTCGAAACTTACTATATGCTTCTCTCTATCGACACATCCACATTTGTAACCATCGATTACAGCTCCCTCGGCGCACGGACACTTCCCCTCGATTTTGTCGTCGTCCTTGCATCCCACGCATTCGTACGTGGGGCAGCACTGTCCCGGTAAATCCGTGCCGTTCGCAGCGATCTTCATTTCCGTCAAGCACGGCGGTTTTTTACAGGTCCCCGGGTCGCATTTGCAGACGTCTTCGGAGAGGACGCTGTCGCTCGGACAACCTTCAATAGATGGCGCTGCATTGACCGCTGGAAAGAAAATTAAACGTTAATAGTTTTTGCAATTTAATCAATCACAATAAAAATTTATTATAAACAAAAAATAATACTTTTTTCGTATGATCGTCAATTATATTTTTATGAATTTTAGCAATGAAACATATCATGGACGAAACACATCTTTTTGTTTCTGATAGTATGTATTCAAAGAATTAATACCTATTTGGTTTAACAAAATTATTAGCGAAATAAAATTAAGAGTAATTACATAATTAAAAATTAGCAGTGGAGTTACAGTCAAATTTAATAGCTTACAACTTACAATTAGTTGATTAAATCAAAATAAATGTTTGACAAATCTTTTAGGTATGTCAGTTTTATTATTTAGAGTTAATGTTTTTTTAATATATAGCGATCGACCGGTCGATCGCGAAGCCAATTTTGGTCGATCGTCGATCGCTCGCAATGTTTGGAGTGGAATTCTGCGTACCATGGACTTTGAAGCGACTACAGAAGACAAAACTTAAAATTATCAGCATTTTTATAACCATTATAATACATTGCAGTTGATAAAAAAATTAAAATCGTTTTTAAGTTAGTAAAAATCTATCTTGAAAAAGTGTCGGAAAATTGATTTTTTTAGGTAACGCATGTACGGAATGCTGCTATCAAATGTTGGGTCTTTCAGTTTATATTCTTCACGAGCCTATGTCCTTTTTTACGACACATGTTCTTTTTTACAGTACGTCCTTTAAAAGGACCTGGTTTATAAAAATATAAGCCGAGGATTTTTTTAGAAGCTCGGGACCAGGGGTTTATTAAAAATATAAGCTGATGAGGACCTTTTTTTATATTTAAAAAGCTCGCCAAAAATACTTAGTTTCAAAAAGGTGCCAACTCTACCTTATACTGTATAAACATAGTATGCATTTCACACCCCTTCTTCCCCCTTAGGCTACGCCTATAACAACAAGTCGATCGCGAAACACTTTTAAGATAAAAAGTAGATGTTATATACAGAAATTTACCATCTCAAGGATCGTACTTTTATCATAGGCTCTTTTTCTTACATTATTCTTATATTTTCAAAATCTAAAAAATGCAATTTTTCTAATGCTTATTTTGTTAAAGCAGTAGAATTTCCATTATTTGTTGAAATATTTTTATGTTCTTTTAATTAAAAAAGTATGCTATTGCCTCCAACTGAACGAATATATTTCATATCCATTCTAGGTAGTGAGAATACTGCAAAAAAATGAAATCCTCCAATCACCGTTCATATTTTGATCAACCGACTGCTATTATTTTTAAAATTTTAAATAAGTGACAATTCTATCAAACTAATTGTCAGTATATTTTTTAGTTATTTAACGTTTTAAGTTATTTAACGTGCGAGCAGAGCGAGCGCGTTAATGTTCGAGATTGTTAATCGCCATTTTAATTCACGAGTTCGTTACAGAACTTTTCCGTCGACCGTACTTTTCAAAAATAAAGATATCTTACTTTTAAAAAATTAAATAATGACATACAATGACAGATAGTATTAACACACCTTCTTGATTTCAAATGTATATGTATGTTTGGTTGCCTACACCATAGGTAACTGTCAATATAAATGTATAATAATAGCAATGTACGTTGGGTTGTATACAATAAAATCGTTGATTAATAGAAAATCATTCATTAATAGGGGTCATTAATCAACGATTTTGAGTGAGTTAATAGTATATTATTAAACAAGCAATTTATGGTAGCCATTATTCACGCAGGGTGACGTTTGCGTCCCGAGCCGTAGGCGAGGGGCGCAAGTCACCCGAGTGAATAATGGCCATAAATTGCGAGTCTAATACTATACTTTGTCCACGACCATTATGGTTTCTTTATTAAATAAAAGTTAAGTGTAGAATGGAAAGTTTTTAATAAACATAGGTAACTAACTGTTGTTTTTTCAACTTTTCAATTTTCCGATGTTTCAATTTTTCGAATTTCTTATTTTTCGATTTTTCGATTTTTCGATTTTTCGATTTTTCGATTTTTCGATTTTTCGATTTTTCGATTTTTCGATTTTTCGATTTTTCGATTTTTCGATTTTTCTAAAATAAAATCTAAATAATTTGAATTTGTGGAAAAAGATTTTTTATTTAGGTCACATACTTCCTAAAGTAGAAGTTATTAAAAATTTTCCAATTTCAAAATATTCTCAGAAATTCAAAAGATTTGTGGCTTTCGCTAATTATTATAGAAAATATGTAAACAATTTCACAGATTGCTGCACCGTTAAATAATGTTACAATTTATTACATTTCTGCGCAATGACGTGCTCACTGAAATACATTTATTTAAATGGTGGCATACAAATGAACTTCCAATTGGCTGTTACTGCAAATCTGTGATTGCCAGATATACGTTATTGTATGAAGCCTAATATATTTTTTTATAAATTATGTAAAAGATACACTTTTGTACAACATTTACCTGGTTTAGATAAATACGAGAGGTAAACCGCTGGAAAAATGGTGTTCACACATTTTGCTCAAAATAGTATGTAAATAGTACACATATTATGGCAAATAGTACAGAAATAGTACCTATCCAAATTGTAGATAAATAGTACACAAATCGTGGATAAGTAGATAACAATTTGATTGATAGGCTAAAAAAGGTCCCCGATATTAAAATAAAGTTTATGACCTAAAAATAAGGTATTTTTCTTCGGATCACCATCGCTGCAGTGGAAACCCTACACCATTTTTACTAAATAATATATAAATGCAGACGATTCGAGCATGTGATTTGTTGTAGAATTGAAAATTATCTGAGACGCGAGGTTGGATTCGAAATCTTATATTCACCTTGACAATTCGGAAATCTCTTTGTCAGCGATAGCTTAATTGGAAGAGCGGCTGTGCGTAGAATAAAAGTAAATGGGTTCGAATCCCCCGCGGACAATTTTTTTTCAATTTTTCTTCTTGGTGGTTCAAAAAAAAATTTCATCTTTCGTAAGGGTAATATTGGAATTTGTTTGGAAATTTCCTGGAAATCTAATTTCATATTTTTCAAATATCTAACCGATAAGTTTTCTGAACTTTAAAACCGATTCATTCACAATATGTAAATATTACACAGTAGTACACAAATAGTGCGCAACAATACACAAATAGTACACAATAGCAGAGAATAGTACACAATAGTACACAACAGTACACAATAGTACACAATAGTACACAATAGTACACAATAGTACACAATAGTACACAATAGTACACAATAGTACACAATAGTACACAATAGTACACAATAGTACACAATAGTACACAATAGTACACAATAGTATACAATAATACACAATAGTATACAATAATACACAATAGTACACAATAGTACACAATAGTACACAATAGTACACAATAGTACACAATAGTACACAATAGTACACAATAGTACACAATAGTACACAATAGTACACAATAGTACACAATAGTACACAATAGTACACAATAGTACACAACAGTACACAATAGTACACAATAGTACACAATAGTACACAATAGTACACAATAGTACACAATAGTACACAATAGTACACAATAGTACACAATAGTACACAATAGTACGCACTAGTACACACTAGTACACGATAGTACACGATAGTACACGATAGTACACGATAGTACACAATAGTACACAATAGTACACAATAGTACACAATAGTACACAATAGTACACAATAGTACACAATAGTACACAATAGTACACAATAGTACACAATAGTACACAATAGTACACAATAGTACACAATATTACACAATATTACACAATAGTACACACTAGTAGACGATAGTACATGATAGTATACGAGAGTATACAATACTACACAGTAGTACACAACAGTACACAATAGTGTGCAACAGTACACAATAGTGTGCAATAGTACACAATATTATACAATAGTGCTTAATACTGCACAATACTGCACAATACTGCACAATAGTACACAATAGCTTTATCGCAGATCCTATCGCCGACAAATCCGCGAACAAATCTACTAATACACAATAGTACCCAATTAGAACATGAAATATATAAATAGTACACAAAATATAAAAGTATACAAAATATGTAAATACTACGAAAAATACATAAATAGTACACAAAATACATAAATAGTACATGAAATACATAACTAGTACACACAGTACAGATTTATTATACACCAGAGTACACCAGTGGTTTACCTCCAGATAAATATCACTTACCCCACCCCAACTCAATATGTCATATCACATCGATTTTATCAAAATGTATACATTATTTTTTGGTTGGCCAGATTTAAAAAGTCTTTTAAATACTTAAATTTTGGTAATAATCCTCTTAATACTGTTAACATATAAGGTGACTAAAAGCGATTCCAAAACAGTACCTTGTGACACGCCAAAAGTGATTTTTTCTGGTTTACTAATAATACCATCTAGTTCAACCTTTTGTACTCGGTTTAATAAGTAACTTTTCAAAATTTCCCAGGTCCTTCCAAGATTTGTACAGAAAAACAATATCGTCTGCAAAGCACAAAATCTTACCATTTAAGTTGAGTTCTTACTGTTAATATATAAAGTGAAATAAACCGGTCTCAAAATAGTACTTTGTGGCGCACTATAAGTTACTTTTTCTGGTTTGCTAATAATACCACCTAGTTCAACTTTCTTACTCAGTTTGATAAGTAACTTTTCAAAATTTTCTAAGTATTGCCTCTTAATCCATACCTCTCCAACTTTTCTAGCAGTTTTTATGGTTTACTGTGTCAAATGTTTTAGAGAGGTCTATGAGTATTGCTAATAAATATGAATGAACTTAAAAATCGAACAGCATTACCGAGGTTTTAAATTTTCTGTGTACTTATTGAGATAAAAATGACTCTCACACGGTTTTATTGTCTAGTATATTTCATACTATAACCACCAATTAAAATTTTAACAATAATTACCATCGTAAAAATCAAGTTGTCTTGTAAAGTAATAATAATTGTTGTCGTT